TTCAAATTTTGTTTCTAACATTTTTGTAGTTTGCTCATTTTTCATTCAGCTTCCTTAGCTATTCTTCCTTAGGCTGTAATTAGTATTTCAAAGATTTCAATGCAAAATGACAGGAAAATGTTGCATTAGACTCAACTGGCTTACAAAGAAAGATAGTCTTGGTTATACAATATTTCAGTGGGAAACCAAGTCAATTGAAATAATATTTTGCAATATATGTTCATCATCAATAGCATGTGATCAAAAAGACTTTCAGGCAATAAAACATGTCTATAGCAAAATACATGCTGCTCAGCAACCAATTACATTTAAAACCTATTGGCAGCAGCAACACTACTGAAGTAGAAGATAAAATAGATCAAGATATTAACTCTTGAAGCTTTGAAAATTTCTTATTTTTATGTACTAGGAGACAAAATTGTTTTTACCCCCATAGCTACAAGCAAAATTTATGAGGAAAGACCCTTTGTGAGGACTTTCCCTTTGGTCAATAACACCGGGATGTAGTAAACAATATACAGGTAGGCCTCCTACAACGCGGTACCTTTACAACACGTTTTCACTCCAACACGGTTGGAAAAATACGGAAATTTTCTTACAATGCGGTTTATGGTATTTAGAAATGAATTATCTTTCACATAACAGAAAAATGGCAACGGATCACATGATACAAACTGCAATTCGGCATACAGAACTAAATGTCCTTGAAAACAGATGTTTGTCGCTGTTGGCGTGTTATTTATTCCCTTGAAAGTTTCAGGGAAAGTTTCTAGACAGATGTGCATTAGTTACCGTAAACACTCAAATATATCACTAAATTTTCCATCATTTATGCTGTTTCAATAAGTGGGGACAGCAAAAATGGTCCAAAATACAGTATAAACTTCTATTGGACATAGTGAAGAAAAGTCATTTTTTGCGATTTTTACTGTCCACAAAACTGATTGAAAAAATTTTAGCCATAACAATGCCAAATGAAAAGAAAGGACCGTCGTTAAAAAGGAAATTTATAACTCTTCAAAGATAGAAATTTTGGATTGAAATAAAAATCAAGAGTGGATAGCTGATATTAGTAGGCATTTTTATTTAAATGAGTCAACTATTCAGTTGATTAAGCAATCGGGAGAAAAGATTAGAAATTTGGTTGCATCATCTATTCTTGCGAAAAATGTTGCTAGTCCGATAGCACCTATAATGTAAAAAATGGAACAAGCACTAATATTATGGGTAGAAGATATGAACAAGAAACGGTTGCCTTTAAATAAAACTGCACTTAAACACAAAGCCTTAAAAATATTTGATTATTTAAAAGAAATGGGACAGTTGTCAGCTGCAGTGGTGTAGCGTGGGTGTCAGCCGCCCGGGGTGGAGGAAAATTTTGCTGCCTCCTTATTTAGGTATCTTGATTTAAAAGACTAAAATTCAGTTTCGTCACAGAATAAGTAATGGACAATTCCGTGCTCATTTCAATCGGTTCGAATCGTAGGTGCAACAAAAATATGAAATGAAATGGTTCAAATTTTTACAAGATATTATTATTGTTTATTGTGAAATTTTGCCGTCCCCTAAAAGTGCCACCCCTGCCACCCCCACTACGCTACGCCACTGGTCAGCTGATAAAACCAGTGTTAAATTTGTGGCTACTAATGGCTGGTTTGAAAAATTCAAAAAACGCCATTCAAACGCCAAGTTTTTCTCTTTTTAGAACCGAATCCCAGTTTTTGTATTGAGTTGGTGTCTCCTATAATGCGATTTCCCACAACGTGGTATTTTCAAGGAACGTATCTACCGCATTGTAGGAGGCCTACCTGTAGTACCTTATAAACCAATGACCAGTGTACAATGAAAAAAAAAGAGAGAGAGAAAGTTTGCCACTAATGTTTCTGAACTCCCCTGAGTTCTTCAGGTGTTAAAAGGAATTCTGATGGAATATGAATATTTGACAAATTGTTCAAATCCAGAACTCGAGAAATATTTGTCATGTCGCACATGTGGCAAGCAGGAGCTGTATTCTGGTCACTGTCTCTGGTCTCTCGTCTCTCACAAGCTGGTCGCTGATTGGCTAATCATTTGGATTAGTCAATCAGCAACTGGCTTGCGAGAGATGAGAGACCAGAGACAGTGACCAGAATATGGCCCCAGATCTTTATATTTAAACATCGGTGTCAATCAGCACCTGCCAGGCTATCAACAAAACCAACTCCTCTTTATAATTGATGCATGTGGCAATAAGGCTAGATTTGTGTGTGTGAACAGCCTCCAACCATCTTAGGTATTTGTGCAGGGCGAAGCGAGGATGAGCTTTGCCTGGTTAAAGGCTGCCATGATGTCTGGATCCACAACATAAGTGGCGAGGGCAGTGTTATTTCTCACATGTTGTATATCCGTAAGGTGCTCCTGTAATTTGACCCCAAGGAGCATTTAGTTGAGCCAATGTAAACCAGGTTCCTATCAAATCTGTTGTTCCTAATGGGTTTACTATATATGCCAGGGAGTCTCTTATGGTTGGGAGGGTCCTTCCCATTTCAGAGGATGTCAAAGATGATCAGGCACCTCCTGAACGTGATCCAAACATGGCATTTTATGGCGATCTCGATACACACAGTTTTATGTATGGATTAATGTGATAGGGACCCATTCTTTGTCATCAGGTTGGTTGACCCTCTGTATGTCAACCATGACAGCACACTCTGAGTGCATGTGGTGATAACATTCAATTAATTTATGGATAACCTTGGGGTATCCATGTGCGGAGGCTACACGCTGTGTAAGCATTAATTTGGCACCGAGAGCTTGTGCATTACACAAATCCCTGGTGTTTGCAGTATCCCCATTAGGTACAACAGATTTGATAGGGGCCTGGTTTACGTCGATTCAACTAAACACTCCTTGGGGTCAGATTACAGGAGTACCTCGCAGACATACAACATGCGAGAAATACCACTGCCCTCATCACTTATGTATTGAACCTGGACATCGTGGTGGCCTTTAACCAGGTGAAGCTCATTCTTGCATCACCCTGCATGGAACACTTAAGATAGACATTCACATATATTAATATAAATCTAGTCTTATTGCCACATGAATCAATTATAAAGAGTAGTTGGTTTTATCGATAGCCTGGCACAGGGGTGGCCAACAGTTTTTGCCCCCGGGCCAAATTGGAAAGAAAACTTTTCTCATGGGCCGAACCATAGGCTGCCCTAGGAAGATTTTGAGGTGGTGCGAGATCTCATTGTGGTGTCATCTCTTAAAGACTAAATTGTACATAGAGATTACAGATACATTTCTCACATTATCATGCTTTATCAACATTCTATGCTGTACTTATGAGATTTGTAATGGAGGGTTAACTCTAACCAGACAGCAAGTTGTTGACCTTTTTTTTCCTCTCTAAGCGTTAGAATTTTTCACTGAGCTATTCTGACTTGAGTAGCTAATATTGAAAGATTAATCATGGGCCACATAAATCCATTACATGGGCCATATCTGGCCTGCGGGCCATATGTTGGCCATGCCTGGTCTGGCAGATGCTGATTGACAACGATGTTTAAATATGAAGATCTACTTGCCACATGACAAATATTTCTCAAGCGTTTATCTGTAAATAATATTGTGGTGTTTTTTCTCTATCCAGTGGCATAACTAGAAATGTTAGTCTATTAAGCATAATAGTAAATAACAATAATAATTAAGACAAAACCTTTCTCACTTAGTTTCTAGCCATTTATACACTGAATACAAATGTTCTTCTTAATACAAGCCTTCTTAATAGGCCTTCTTCAGGTATTAATCAAATAATACTATTCATTTGATTAATAAAGAAAATTCTAAATATTTGAAGAATCCTTTGGAAATTGCAGTTGTTTACAGATTGTTGTGTACATGTACAACTGAAAAATATTATATTGGTGAAACTGGAAACATGATTGAAGGAACATGAGGCGGCAATTAGACTTAAACGAAGTGGATCTCCATGGCATCAACATTGTAATTTTACAAATTGTATAATTGATAGAAATATTAATAAACGAACATATAAAACAAAAAATATTGTAAAAAGACGTATTATCAAACATTGCTGCATTGTAAATTATCTAAATACAATTAATTTAAATACTGGCGTATGCATAGATGCATGCTTGTATACTGTGATTGAGTATAAAAGTACTAAAAATGTAAAACGTTGTATTCACTGATAAGGCCAACAGGCGAAATGCATTTGGAAATTATAGTAAGAAATAAATATTAAATTTAAATTGTGATCCATCTCTGTGTTAAATTTCTCAAAGTCAGATAGGAGAGAGTAATTTTAACGCATTTATTTCTGAAAATTTACTTTTTTAGAATTATTATTTTAACTTATTTAATAACTGATCCCATTGTTTTCAATTTTAATTTTATAATAAAAATTTAAAAGATAAATAAGAATCATTTAATAAAACAACTATGAAATTACTTTCACGGTCATCATCAGGTTTGATCCTGATGATGACCATTGAAGATGGTAGAAAACGGTCATTTTTGAAGTGAATTATTGCTGGTTTGTTGGTAATTTCGTAGTTATTTTATTAATTCTTACACCAGTAGTGTTGGTATGATGGATGATTATAAGAATAATTTTTAATGTATTTTCTATGTAAGTAATTACTAATCCACATTTATTCATTAAATTTTAAATACTTACCAAATTAATGTCTTTTAATAACTAATAAAGTTAAATGAATAATTACTTGAAAAATTAATGAAACTTAAAAAGTATTCATTAAACTATTATTCAAACAACTGATGAATGTCATTTCATCAATGGCATTGGTTGGTTAATATCAATTAATCATTATGTTGAACAATTTGCAAATTTAATCAGTTCTTGATTACGTGTCAAGTTGTTAAGCCAAAAAAAAAATTTTTTTTTAATGCTTATTATATTTTAGAATAAAATAATTATAGACAATTAAATGTAAATAATAATTGTACTTACAAATAAATTTATTTTTTAGAATTTATTGATGTCGGGAAGAAGCAGAGAGCTCTGGATGCTCTATATGATGTTATCAAAAGTAGAAAACATCGAACTTGGCAAAAAATCCATGAGCCTATTATGATGAAATATCTCCAGCTATGTGTTGATTTAAAGAAGAGCCATATTGCTAAAGAAGGTTTATTTCAGTACAGAAATATTTGTCAACAGGTAAATTTATTTAAGCCATGTTTCTAAATAATTGATTTGGAATTATAAAATTTATCATACATAGATTCAACTTTTACTTTCTTGGCTGTTACATATACACAACAGGAAAGTTTTGGAGGTTTTTTTTTCCAAATCACATTTTGAAACCCACTGAAACAAAAAATGTCAAAAAAAAAAAAAAAAAATTCCATGGATACTGGTATATAAAGGACATTGACGCTATTAAATTTTGGTGGTTAAAGGTCTAGGCAATGGGAAGATAGAAGTCATGTCATATCTAAGAAGGGTTGGAAATAATTATGAAGATTTTACTCATTATTAACATTTACAATTTTCTGTAAAACTCATCACTACCCTCAAAACTAAGGTTTTTCCATATTATAATAATAATATAAAAGTTTTATTATAACAAAACCTCATAACATTCAGGAAAATTGTTCAACTCATTGCTGGATTTTCTTATTTTTACTGTTTTTTAATACAACTCTAATATTTTACAATGAATGTATATAATTTGATATTTTGTTCTACAATTATCAGTAAAATGTTTTTTAATTTGTTGTTTGTTTGTAGCAGTATATTTAGTTTGGGGATAATTTTTTAATTCCATCAAATAAAAATTATTATTATTATATATATATACTTTCAGTTTTAATTAAGTAAAACTTTTTATATTTTAAAACTGTGATGCTCAAACTATTGCCCTGGGCCAAATCTGGCCCATAAACATATTTGACACATCACTTATAAATGATAGAAATAGGCCTACTTTTTGTATATATGGAATATACAAAATATTTGTGGCTTTCCTCCTTTGACTTATGTGCAATTTAGCCTGCCAATTAAAAAGTTTGGGCACCACTGTCTTAAAATATTGACATTGTAAATGGAATTTAATGGAAAACATAGTATGTATTTGTTACTATACTAGTAGTTAGATAACCATAATCTGTAAATTCATATATAATTATTTTGTAAGATGTTTGTTTAAATTTTATATATTCTTAACTGAATGCTAGTGTTAACTTTGTTTTTTTTTTTAAATCTANAATTTCAAATGGCATGCATAATTTAGTGGAGGAAAATAATAATTATTTTTTATTTAGATTCTAATAATAAAATTGTTTTTAAAAGGTAAATATAAAATCTCTAGAAGATGTAGTTAGAAGTTATCTTCAGTTAGCTGAAGAGAAAACTGAAGCTGCTAGAGAAGAATCTCAGCAGGCTGTAGTAGATATTGATGATTTAGATAATGTGCAAACTCCAGAAAGGTATGGTTATGATTTTAATTTCTCTTTTGTTTCTTATGATTAATTATTTTTAAAATATTATAGTTTATTACTGAGTGCAGTTAGTAGTGAAGATACTCAAGATCGTACAGATCGAGTAGTGTTAACTCCGTGGGTAAAATTCTTATGGGAGTCATATAGACAATGTCTAGAATTATTGAGAAATAATTCTAGGGTGGAACGTCTCTATCATGATATTGCTCAACAAGCCTTCAAGTTTTGTTTGAGATACAGTCGAAAAACAGAATTCCGCAAATTATGTGATAATGTAAGGCATTTTTATACTGGTGATTATTTCTTAATTATTATCATTTAATTTAACTTTTGCTAATGTAATTAGCTTCGAGCTCATCTTGGTCACATCCATAAGCACCAGAATCAACAAACTGCTGTTAATTTAAATAATCCTGAGAGTCAAGCAATGCACCTTGAAACAAGACTTGTTCAGTTAGAGAGTGCTATACAAATGGAATTGTGGCAGGTAATTATAAAAACAATTGATAATAATAATAATAATATTCATTTACTTAATGTTAATAATACTTTACAGGAAGCTTATAAAGCCATTGAAGATATTCATGGATTAATGAATTTATCAAAAAAACAACCGAAAGCTCAGCTTATGGCAAATTATTATCAAAAATTATCTCTTGTTTTTTGGAAAGCTGGTAATTTATTGTTTCATGCATCAGCTCTATTTAGATTATTTCATCTTTCTAGAGAATTAAAAAGGAACATAACCCAAGATGAAATTCAAAGGTGTGCAGTTATTTTCAAGTTGTTATTTTGATTTAAAATAAATTATTCTTATAAAGTTTTTCTTTTTGTGCAGAATGGCCTCTCGTGTTGTTTTAGCAACACTTGCTGTTCCAATGCCTCCCAATAGGCCTGAAATTGACAGACTGGTAGAAACTGATGAAAACGTTATAGATAAAAATCATCGTTTATTAGCCATGCTTTTAGGATTATCAAATCCACCAACAAGATCATCTTTAGTTAAAGATTTGGTAATTCTATAAGTAAATATAAATGTTTAAAATTAATAATTATTAGAATTTTTAATACTTTTCTTCTTAGATACGTTTTGGAGTCATTCAAGCAGCACCGAGCCAACTACAAGAATTGTATCGTCTCTTAGAGACAGATTTTCATCCTCTTAAGTTGTGTCCACGTGTTTCTCAGTGTTTTGATTTTATTAACAAATGGGAAGACTATCCTGATCTTCGACAATATATTTCAGCATTACAAGATATTACAATAATGAGACTTTTAAAAGAAGTAAATGATTATACTTAATCTCTAGTTACATGGGATTTTCTGTGTATTTCTATTTTAAAAAAAATTATTTTTCAGGTTTCTCAAGTTTATCAATCTATTGAATTTAGTAGATTGTTAGAATTAACACCTTTTGCTACTCCATTTTATTTAGAAAATATGGTTGTTGAAGCAGCTCGTAGAAATGATTTACAGGTAATTATTTAAAGTAAGAATAAAAGCTTGAAATAAAAATGTTACCCTTTGTACTTCAGTGACTCTTTTTCTTGTTTTAACTGTTAGGCGTAAGCATAACATTATTTGAGAGAGAATGAATCATACACACAACAAAGTTAGTTATACAGGCTTTATTAACCTATTCGATGTTGAAATTTTTATTTGTTGCCTGTGACGCCATGTTGAATTTTCGTTGATGTTAAGCCTAAAAATTTTTTTTAAATAATAATCATGTTTACTGTATCGTAAAAATTATTATTTTATGTTTCACAAACAAAATAAATATATTGAATAATATAGAAACAAAAAAAATTATATTTTAAAAGTTCGTTTTAATATAAAAATTGTGACACATAGCGACATATAGTATCAAAAACGTTCCAATATAAACACGAGAATATTCGGGATTGCCCATGCAGGTCAATGAGGTCAACACGAATATTTTCAGGAACAATGTAGGACAGGTTAATTCTGGAGGATATGCATTTTGGACATGTCCCTCATTAGCCCTCTTTATTTTACATCAATTTAGTTATAAAAACATTGCAAAATTTAAGATAGTTAAATATATACATAAAATCACAATGAACACAATATTATCTGAATGGTTACATGTTTACTATGGTTATAATATTGGAAACTGGATAAATAAATAACAATAATAGTAAAATACTTAAAAATATTATAAAATAATTAAACTATAAAAAGTTTTAAATAAAATTATTAATAAAATGAATCCCTGTATATTATAAAATGGGCAGTGTGGGATTCATTCTCTCTTAAACAATCTTATGTCAATGTTATCATTATATTAATGTTTATTATAGGTAAGAATTGATCATAGGCAGCGTTGTCTACATTTTGGATCTGAGTTGAGTGTATCACAGAGAGAAGAAATAGTTGAAGGTCCTCACTTACAAAGTATGCCAAGTGAACAAATCCGCAGTCAATTGGTTACTTTATATTCTGTGTTGCATAAGTGTGTTGAGCTCATTCAACCAGAAAAAATAAAATTAGCTAGAGAAGAACTGAGAGAACAAATTGTAACTGCATATAATCTCACTTCTAAAAAAGAACATCAGCGCATACTTGAAAGAAGACAAATTATTGAAGAAAGAAAGGAAATGATAGAAAATCTCAGCTATCAAAAAGTAAGAAAATAAGGTTTAAAAATAAAATATACAAATTAGATTATATATAAAATAATAATAAAATGTTTTATTTTAAAACTTTCTAATAAAAGGAAGAAGAAGAAAGACGACAGTTAGAAGAAAGACAGCAAAAATTAAGAGAAGCTGAAAAGGAAAGAATGGCCAGAGAAACAGAAGAAAGAGCAAAACAGCGTATTCTTCGAGAACAGAATGAATTAAAGAAAAAAGTAGTAATGGAGAAAATTGAACAGCTTAAAAAAACAGAACTAGGAGCACGAATATTTGAAGGATTAGAAGAAGAAGTTAGTAAAACTTACTTAAAAAATAAATCTTGGATTTTGAGCTTTGATAAATCATATTAATATATGCTATAGCTTAAAGGTTTATCTTTTCATTACATTGTATGTTAATTATATTTAGGAATTACAAAAACTAGATCCTGAAGAAATTTTAAGTCGTCAAGTAGAACAGTTGGATAGAGAGAGGAAAGAATTGCAAGCTAAATTAAGAAAACAGGAAAGAAAGGTAATTTGAAGTTTTTATAATAACTTTTTATATGTAAATATTACTTGTTTAATACTTAAAATTCATTCATTAAAATTTGAAATAAATTTTTTGCTCAACTTTTGTAACACTGCGATTTACATATAGTTATCACTTATGATAATTTTTAATAGCAGTTAATGGAACTTTTAAAAAAAATGAAAAAAATAATATATTATAAACTAGGAAAAAATTGCACTTATTTTCAAAGTTTATAAAAATTGTGTTATTAAAATAACTTTAATTTTAAAATAGGTAAATGTGTAAAAATATAAGTCTTAGTGTTGAATTCAGAGAGCCTTACAGCTGATTAGAAGCAGGTTTTTATGTTTGGCTGAAAATTCTTTAAACATAATCAAATAATCCCTGTTCTCAATAGGCAATGTGTTTTGCACATTTGATATCAAATAAGTGATTCTGCTAAAACCTGATTTAACCAAATAGGAACTTAGTTAAAAAATATTTTAATATATTTTCTAAGTTTTCCCTCAGTCATAGTAAAATCAGTTATTAACAGCTTTAAAAGAAACTAGTTTAGATCCATTCAAAGTTTGAACTACTGTTTGTTTAATGAGTCAGTCCATCAGTTATCCTCAGTTCCTTCATGCCCTAGCATTTTAAAGAGAATGAGCAATTACTTATTGTGCCAGGCTGGAAATTTTAATCATATTTTTAATTTATTTAATTTAAAATATATGCTCTCCGTCTTAAATTAGTAGTGGCTTGCCCCTGTACATCACTTTTTTTAACAATAGAGTTGTGCCAGTCATCTATTAACTGCTTTCAGGGGGAATTTTGAATTGAAATAATGTGATTTCTGGTTTGCATCGGAAGTTCATATATAGTTAATCAGGGCTTTCTGCATCAAATATTTCCATATCTGGTCTCGGATTTCATCTATATAACTTCATTCTTGAGATTAAAGAAGAATAGATGATGAACACCAGTGGAAATTAAGGTCTACAAATTTTTCAAATTGCAACCGAAAAATTGGTATTGCAGGCAACCAATTTATAAAAGCATTAAAAGATCTAGAATACCTTACAGTGTAGTTGGCCATCTTGTAAGTAACCCTTTCTCACAAAAACAGTAATTGTCAGGGACATCTGCTGTTTTTGTGAATAAATCATGAAATCACCTGTTGATATATAGTTTTTGTAAAACCTCAAAATATTTCATATAAAATATCTCTATCATCATTTTCTGCTGTTGCATAATTCATTGGCAAGTCATCCACCATTAGAATTAACCAGATGCTGTGAAAAACCCATTTTTGCCCAATTTTGACATATGTTGATTCTGCAAAAAAGGCCTCAAATCTTTTTAGATCTTTCTAAAAAAATTTCCAAAATAAATATTTTTTTAATTATATCATTTTTACCTTCATATTTAGAAAATGGTTTTAGAAAATACTTGTGAATATGTTTTAAAACTTTTTTTTAATAAACTCACTTTTAATATGTGGAAATAGTTCAAATTTCTTTTTTAACAAAGTTTATATATTTAAATGATTATTTTTGGTAATTTTTATATCCTTGTAATTCAAACACAAATTATTTATTGTATAAATACAATAAATAATTTGTGTTTGAATTACAAAGATTACTGGCATGGTTTCAAAAATACCAGAATTTTATATCCTTATTTTCTGTTTTATTGAAAACTTGACTATTTTTGCAGTATAATGTATAAATTATTTTCTTTTTTATTATTGTTGTTAATAATATAAATAAAGTTTAATTTATATATTTATATACATAATCATTTTAAAAATATTACTATCTTTCTCATTTATATTTCAAATTTAAAGCTTACTTTTTAAACTGTCTAAACTTGGTCATTATAACACTTCCATTGTTACTTAATACTTCCATTGTTGAAGCCTTAATCCTGTCCCTCTTCCCATGTGGGGAATTTCAAAAAATCCCTTCTTAGTATGCGTTCTCATGACATACCCTAACTGTGTACCAAATTTCAACTTTCAACTCCTAATCGTTTGGGATCTGCGCTTATTATTATTATTATTTTATTCAATGTCTTGCAAAGATGATAAGATAACACTTGAATAACCTTGAGTAAATGACAAATATTTAATAACTGAACATTTTAAAATGCCACAACAGTAGTTTATATAAAAACGTTCACTATAGAGATTATTTTTATACAAACTACCATTGTGGCATTCCATTATTCTACTTATTCCATTTATTACTTATTCTACATTATTCTATTTATACCATTATTCACATATTCTACTGGAAGAAAGTCGTTAGAAACATTTGAAAATGTTTGTTATTAAATTTTTGCCATTTATTCAAGGTTATTCAAGTGTGTTCATTAAACTCAGTCATATGCATATAATATGGTCACTGTATTATTGATGGTGGAAATTTTTAAGTTTATGCACTGCTTAAATATAGAATCAAAATTTGCTTAATGTTGCATTGGGTAAAATTAAAAATTACTTTATCATTGCTGCTTTGGCAACTATTTCATACTTCCTTTTATTCTTGAATTAATCCAATTTTTCTAAAAATTAACTTTTAATAAAAACTTATACTGTTAACTTTATATTTATAACTAAAAAATATTTTAGGTTGATCACTTGGAAAGAGCAAAAAGATTAGAAGAAATTCCATTGTTGCAAAAAGCTTATGAAGAATTTAGGATTGAAGATCAAAAGTTTTGGGAACAACAGGAAAAAGAAAGAGTAAATTTAGATTTTAGATGACTTTAGTCAAGTTTAAATTTTAACTAAGGTAAATATGTTAAAGATTTTATTTTAATTTATAGATAAGTAAATTAAAAGAAGAAAGACAGTCTGCTCTGGAACATCGAGATCGTTTATTAAGAATGAGGGAAGATAAAAATAAATTCGTGGAACGATTGAAAGCAGGAAGAAGTTCTGTTTATAAAGTATGTAATTTTAGTAATTCCATTTTTTATAATTTATAAAAATTGTTTATTACTTTAGCAAATAAATATTAAGTAATAACTATATAAAAATTATAGGAAAAATTAATGGAATTTGAAAAAATGTTAAGTGAGGAAAGAAATAAACGTTTAGAACAGCGAAAAGCAGAACGAAGAGAAGAACAAAGAAAGCATTGGTTGCTTATGAAGAAAAAGGAAGCTGAAGAAAGAAAACAACAAGAGGAAAAGAGAGGTTTGTTTTAAAAGAAAATAATAAATAAAATATTTTTATATGTATAAATAATTAAATTTTATTCAAAAATTGCAGAATACGAAGCAAGAATGGCAAAATTAGAAGAAATAGAAGCTAAGAAACGAGCAAGAGAGAAAGAATTGGAAGAAAAAATGAAACAGCAGAAGGAGGAGGCATTGAAGAAAGAGAGAGAAGAAAAGGAAACTACGTAAGTTTAAAATAGAAAATATTTTGAAATATTATTTTAAAATGCATTTGTTCAATTTAATAATACTTACATTTTGTACAATGATTTTTTTTGTATATGCATTTTCCACTATATGATTTTATTGAGAAAAAAATAATTTAATTTAATATATAATAAGATAAATATATTTTACTAGCAGATAAGCCCAGCGTTGCTCGGGCAAAAAGTAACGATAGCCAAGAGTAAGATTATTACATTTACAGCCAATCTTACCTGTTTTCACAGAATGCAAGAATTAGGTCCCCGTTTCCAGACTAATTAGAAAATTTTTAGATGGGTCTAAAAATATGTTCGATTTCCTGCAAAAATGTGAAAAACCACATCTGCACTTGTAAATCTTGCACATTGCTTTCTCTTAACACTTCCATTGTTGAAGCCTTAATCCTGTCCCTCTCCCCCACAGGGGGGAATTTCGAAAAATCCCTTCTTAGTGAGCATTCTTGTGACGTACCCTAACTGTGTACCAAATTTCAACTTTCAACTCCTAACCTTTTGGGCTCTGCGCTTATTATTATTATCAATCCATTTATTATTATTTTATTCAATGTATAATAAAAATTTGTTTAGCCATTTCAATTTTTACTGAAACTCATCAAACTTAACGTTTCATTAAAGTTCCTATTTGGTCACAATTTAATCAAAAAGCTGCTTCTAGATATTTAGGCTTTATGGATTGATCATTCTTAGAATCTTGTTTGCCAGTTTCTGTTATTACCAATCTCGCCTATAATATTTTAAGTTTAACCATTGAAAAGTATTTAAAATTATAAAAAATTGATGTTTCTTCATACAAATGGTTTCTGCTCACCTTAAAAAACTACGTAATATTCTTAGCAAACAATGGTGCAAGTGCTAAAAATCTGGCAATTCAAGAAACCTATATACCTACATCCGAGTTATACAAAAACGATATCATAAGGAATGTTCATTGTCTTTCTTTTAATTATTTTAATAGAATAGTCAATTCTTTTGCCTCTGATCCCAATACTTTTTGGGCTTTCATATCCAAGTTTTCTAGGAATACTCCTAACAGGACTTTTGTGTTTCATGATAATCAAGTATATGATATTTATCTTTAATCTTAAACAAAAATTCAGTAATATTATTCTAGGAGCCAATTACAAACCACTTACCTTTTCTTCACAAATATATTCTTTTTCCTTCTTATTTTCAGAAGTCTAATATGCTATCAATTTACTTAATACATCTACTTTCAGTACAGATCATATTCCAGCTGCATTTTATAAATCTGCCCAATCTATTTCTACTGTTATACTTTCCAAACTTTTTCTCATTACATTCAATCTCATTATGTTTTCAATCAATGGATCACATTAACAATTATTCCAATTCCAAAAAAGGATAAAAACAGTGTTTTTATCTTTTTTTGATCTATTATACTTTCCCCTTCAATGTTAAATATTTTTGAAATCTGTGTGTACCATAGAATCTACTCTTCTTTATCTAGTAAACTTCTTTCTTTTCAACCTTGCGGCATCAACAACAAACTTATTACAAACTTTGTCGTACATAATTAATGATTTTGAAAATAAGCAGCCATGTTACATTGTATATATTGATATAAGCAGTGCATTCGATTCTGTATTACCTAATATCCTTCTTAATAAAAGAGCATTGCGGACCATTTTTTATGCTAATTTTCAATCTTGCATTGAGTATGGACTGCTCATCTGGTCAATAGTTGCACCTTCCCTTTTACACAAGATTAATTTCTGCTATTATTAAGATATATCTTACATTTAACAAAATATGCAATTTGCCTTTTGCTGTTGACTCTAATATTCCTAGAATTTGCCTGAGTTTCCTATCTTTCTTCAAGAGAATTAAATATTTTGATCAGAGTTAATATATTACAAATATTTTAATGATCTTATTTGTCAAGATTGGCCTTTACTCCAAATTTTGTCAAGAAAACTTCACTCATTTACTTATGTTTTTACTCCTTTTTATCATCTAAATCTATCTCAACGATCTTTCTTTTACCCTATATCGTAAAATCTTAATAATTTTCATAAATTTTTACATCTTGATCTCCCTGGTTTTAAATTGAAATGTAAAAAATGCTGTGTGTCTTAACCTTTCTACAGAGGGTTAGTCAGATATGGCACTATCATGATGTAGTGGAGAATAAACATGAGAAATTTTTAAGAATTTTCTCATTTCCATTTCAGAAAAGAAATTTTTAAACAGTTATGTCTAGTAAAGAAAAACCTTTCTTTATTGTCACATAATTCCTTTTTTACGTGAATTTTTGCCTAGATTTTGGCGATATCCACAAAAAAAAATTTGCAGATATAGACATCATTCTTCAGTGTCGTGTGATCGCCCTTGACGGGTATATCCATCAATCACTGCAGAGTGGTTAAGATTTGTTACCTGTTGTAGTTTTATATTATTTATTTATTTATTTATTTATTTATTTATTTTTTTTTTTTTGTTTGTTTTAAGGGATGTTATTAGTTTTTATGATGTTTTTGTAGGGGTGGAAATGAAATATCTATCAAGACTTTTACTGTAAATTTAATGAAATAAAAAAATAATTATCAATTGTTTCTTATAAATTGACATTTTTAAAAAGCTTTATTTTTAACATTTAACAAAAAGTTTTAAATACTGTAGTGGCATTAATTCTGCAGCTACTAGTATAATTTTCTTACTTACATTTAATCTTATAATTTCATGTTTAATGTTATTTATAATGTTATTTCATTCAGTTTCATGGAATTTCTATTTATAACTAAGTGCATTCAACAAATGGGTTTTTGTATATATGTATAGATTTGAATAGTAGAACCTTCTCTTTAATATTTTCTTGGGGATCCACATTCTAACATTGAAGCAAATTTAAAGTAAAGATTTGGGAAAATTATAAAAAGCAATTGCAATAAATGAAATTAACATTTACATTTAATAATTTCTTCTGTTATTGCTCTTATATTAAAATTGCAACTAGTAAAAAATCAGAACACACGAATAATATTTAGGAGTTCAGTTTAAAAAATAGCTCCTTAATATTGAAGCTTAACATAAAATTGAAAAATGCTAAATTGAGGTCTAAATTCTATTGTTTATGAAGCAATAGAAATTGGGACAATTAAAAATGAACATGAAGTTGGGATAAATGTTAAATTGAGAAATATTAAAATAGGATATTACTGTTTATAATAGGTAAACAAAATATTTAAATTTTACACACATTCAAAAATTTATATTAAAATTTGAGAAATTTAGTGTGGGTATTTGTTGAAATTTATAGCCAAATTTGAGTTGTCACCATTTGGCTAACAACTAGTGGTAGCTACTTGTTTTGTATTTGCTTTTTAATAAAAACATTATTGCATAATACAGTAATACCCCGAACTTACGCGATAGGTAGGACCGCGCGATAACCGCGTAAGTCGAATTCGCGTAAGTCGGGGTATAATTTTGCATATAAATACATACAAATAACACAAAATAAATTGTAGCTATATGTCGAACACGTCCGAAAAGGTAAGCCGAACAATAGTGTGGGGGGAAATGAGTAATTAAGAGTTGCGTGGCGCTCAAACAAAAGACGAATCGACGAGATTTGAAAATCGCGTAACTCCGGATTCGCGTAAGTCGGGGTATTACTGTACTGTTTTTTTTTCACGTTAACAATTATTTGTATTGCTAATTGCATTGTAATTCATTTTGCATATAGAGTACAGCAGAATCAACTTTGTAAACTACCTAATGCACATTCTATATTGATATCATTTTTATGAAAGCATTTCTTTAACTGCATGTTTGTGTAATAACAATAATAATAATAATTTCAATATTTTTTCTGTACTTTAAAAAAAACCACTAACCTGTGAGTAGTTAAAATGATGAGATTAAATTACATTTATTCTCTACGTACATGAAATATTCATTTTATTTAATTATACTTTTATATGATGATTTCTATTGTTGTTATTTCTTTGCTTAAGTTTTATTTTGATTAGTAGTTTGTTACATTTACAATTATTTTTTTTTTGCTCTATAGAGAAGAGAAACGTTCAGAACCATGGAAACCATCTGGTAAGAACAATTATAAAAATTAATTTGTAGTAGATAATAATCTAGTTCATGTTTCTAAACTTATATGTCAGTTGTATGTTATTTTTATGATATATAATTCTGTATTATTAGAATAGAAATTAAATGTATAAAGCAGTTTTAAATAATAATACATTAGAGTTCCGAAAACTCGGCACTCGATAACCTGGTGGTCCGGATAACTTGGCCACACCCTAGCAGGGCAAAAAAAACCGTAGTTAATTCATTTTCATTATAGACAACTTTATGCCTCATAAAGTATTTTTCTGGGGTCTGTCTTATCAGGTAAATTACTGTACACAGTGTATTCATTAATTTTCATTTTCATGTAGTAAAGGCTCTATGCCTTCATAAAGTATATACTTTTCCTTTGTTTAAGGGTATTTGGGCAGTTTATTCTCTGTTGTATTCTCAAGCAAACAATACATACAAGTACAGTACAGTCGACTCCCCTATAAGATCATAGATACGTTCCATTCTTTAGGAATCCGATTTCTTACGAGTCCTTCCAATCACAGCTTGACACGTGAGAAGTTTACGGACTACGGCTGATTGAAAGGTTTTCTTCCATAAAATTAATCGATTCTAGACTAATCCGACTCAACATTTCCAAAATACATATATAGTTTTTGGGGGGGAATAATCCGTATAAACTATGCTATAAACAAAAAATTGTAGGATTACTTACTGAGTGTGCACCATTTGACATCGCCATTGCTCAAGCATGTTTTCGTCGCGGAACAGCTCAGCAAACTGCAGCTGATTTCTAATAACTTATTTTTCTGCAAAAACTTTACTGAACTTTGGAGACATCATTAATATAAATAATTTTTATCGCCGTTGAATAAGAAATGTTTCTTTCACAAGAAACGTATAAAATTACAGTACTGTATTAGACTTACGGTACCTGTACAGATGTAGTGTGGTGCCAGGCGGCGGAAAATATATATATTTTTTTATAATTATAATAAAGTTACAATAAATTAAGTTAATATATAATTATATGTACAGTACCTAATTTATATATAATACTGTACAGACAATAGTAATCTCTCCGTAGTGTGGTACGCTTGATGGCGTAAAGTAGTTTGGCTGCCCGATGACGTTTTACGTAATTATAGGAGTTTTTTTACCGTTTTTTACGGATACCGTCGCAATTTTTTTGCTGTCTTATAGGAATTGTAATTATAGGAACCCATTTTATAGGGGGTCTACTGTACAGTATTTTCTGAGGAAACGCTCGTACTTATTCTTTTTTAACCTCATTCCCAATAACCTGGCATTTTCACAAACTTGGCCATCCTTTGGTCCACATTAGGCTGAGTTTTTGGGACTCTACTGTAATAATAATAAAATGACACAAACAACAATCACTGAGTATTAACTTATTCTGACTTAAATTTTTATTATTGAAGGAAGCTGGAGAGAGAGAGAATTGGCAAAGAGAGATAGTTGGCGTCCAAGAGATTCAGATAAGGATGTTCGAGGAAAGGATGATGAGAATACATGGAGAAAAAAAGATGAAGATATTCCTAAAAGAGTAGAAGAGCCTGTACGTTCCTATCCTGATGATGATTGGAGGAAACAACCTCGTAAAGAGAGAGATGAGAGAGAAGATTCTTGGAGACGAGATGATGGTAACTAATTATATATCTATTTTGATACTGGTACTTTTGAAACCGTGCTTGTAGTTATTACTACAAGCACGGTTATTACTACAAGCACTAATATTTTGATACTAGTAAACTGTTTCATTTTAACATAATATTATACAGGAGACCGCCGCTATCCTCAAGTCCGTCGAGCACCTTATCCTGAACATGAAGATTGGCGAAAACCACAAGAAGAACGTTCAGAATATGGACGTGGATTTGATCGAGATATTGATAGAGATGATAAAAGTTGGAGAGATCGCAGGGATAATAAAGATTTTGATCGCCGTGATAGAGAATTTAACAGGGATGAAAGAAGAGATTTTGATCGAAGAGATAGAGATTTTGATAGAAATAGGGATGACAGACGTGATAGGGATTATAATAGACGACCAGGAGACTTTGATAGACGAGATGAACGTAGAGATAGAGATTTTGATCGTCGTGATAGAGAATTTGATAGAAACAAAGAAAGAGATTTTGATCGTCGAGACAGAGACTTTGATAGAAATAGAGATAGGGAGCGTACTAACAGAGATAGAGGAGGTTATAGTGATCGTATTCCACCCCGTGGTCCTCGTGATAGAGAAGATAGGCGTATGGGCAGTGATGATCGTAACAAACCTAGTGAAGATGGAAATTGGAGAAGCTCGATGAAGAAAGGTAATTTTAAATATCTTTTTGATCTTGTGAAAAAAATGTTTGATAGAAATATAAGTGTTGTATTAAGAGAATCTTTATCAACATATTTTAAAACAAAAGCACTGTTAAAATATATATATATGTTATGGACAAAGTGATTAATCGGGCATTATGAATAATGACCAAATAGGGCGGGCAGTGTGATAAATATTGATTAATTTATCAAATTGACCGGTAATTATGAATACTGCTATCACCTAGTTGGGCAAAGTGATAATAATAAGTTGAGGAGTGATCATCTGACATACACTAGCCAATCGGCACGCTGAGTTGCGTGTGCGTATCGTACAGCGTTTAGTACAGAATTTTAAATTTGATTAAAAAAACTCCACTTATTTCATTTATAAATATTTATTTTTTGTAAATTATATCAAAGTACTATTAACTATATTAATTAAACTAATATTAACGAAAAGTATTATTAACAATTTTTGGTATAAATTATATAAAAAATTAAATGCTTTTTAGTTTATTTATTTGAGCAGTTAACATTTTCATGACATTTGGAATTACATAATTTTTTTTTCTTTGGTAGCATTTGCATCTATTAGATTTTCAACCAATTTTTCAGCAGCATTAACTATAGTTGTGGCCATCAGGAATTGATGACATTCTTGCACATTCTCTAAGC